AAAGAATTGTTTATTATATGTATATACTGTACACATACACACACACACGCGCGCGCGCACGCGCGCACGCACACACACGTATGTGTGTACGTGTATATGTGCACGAGCGCGCGCGCGCGTATGTGTATGTATATATGTATACATGTATATGTATAATACTAGGACACAAAAATGCATAATACATACTTTATAAATGCACTTGTAGAAAGGAGATGTGTAAGAACATGTACTTCGTAGAAAACTAAAGCCGTACCTTCAGAACTGAAAGCCAAATATGTAAAATCGTACATCACGTGATACTTACGCTTCCTGAGTGAACTGTTGATCCGCAGGTCATTGCATTAATTTTAAATCATTATGACGGCAATTTGATATTGAGTTCTATAACTGTAGAGAACTCAAGATGAATGGCAGAATCCAGCTGGATTATGTCAATATCATTCAGGCTGTTTCTGTTATTTGTTGACTTTAATTTTATTGATATATTTTCTAAAAAAAATTAAAGTCGATTCTTTTATTAATGATTCTGTTAAACAGAAGCATATATATAATTGATTTAATTAGAGGTTTAGTTATTTATTTACTTTTATCTTAATGTCCTAAAATTTAATTCTCTGAAAATCTTTATACAGTACACAAAGAAAAAAAAGAGATAAAAAAATATTAAAGGTATTATAAAGAGAAATATTAAAATAAAAATAAAAATAAACATTAAATAAAACATTAAATAAAAGTAAAATTTATTATATCTGGCAAACACTAAAATGAATACTTATTATCAATTCTAAATTAGTTAAACATTATTTAAATTAAGCCACAATCCAAATATATAAGAGGATAATTAATTTGTATTACTACGCTCATAAATTTAAAAAGCACATAGAAAACATACCTCTTTCACACGAGATAAATAAATATTATAAAAATTATAAATATAGCATTTAAAATTCATTAAAAAAAGAAATAACAATTTAATTTTAATTAATATAAACAGGAGCATCTCTTTAATTTTACTATTTGAAATTTTTTGCGGAAAATTTAAAAGATGATACAACTTGAATTGAAATTGTGTTCTAGGTTGTAACAAATATTGTAATAACATACATATGTAAAATGTTTTATTTGACATATATTTTATTTATTTTTTTAACAGACCATTTAAATATTAAATATTTAATAATCAAATATTTAGGCAAAAGAAAAGGAAAGGGATACCCAAGTAATTATCCGTCTCAGGCTGTGTTCCAAAATTTATATTGCCAGTACTGAAAATCTGCATGTGATGTAAACTATAGATTTTCAGTAGTGATAGTAAATTTTGGAACACAGCCTAAATAAAATCCATTACACATAAAAGTCATAGTCGTAATCGTAAAACCGTAAAAAGCGAACGTAACGTTACTGTTATAAAAATTTTATTTGTGGCAGCTCTAAAAGCACATAAAAAAACTTAAGACGTAAGACTTAAGCAGTAAGCGAATCGATCAATCACGACAATAGAGATCATAAGACCATAATATAAACAGTAGTGAATCCAACATGATTTCCTTATTACTTAAGTTTTACGTCTTAAGGTTTTGTATATGTCAAGCGGCCTTAAAGGGGCCCGCACCTTCCGTAAGTCTGGATCTATAACAGCTGTTTTAAGCCTTAAGCCGTAAGAAATTGATCAACTACAGTCAAATGCGAGGAGAATAATTAATTATGATTCGTCCATTCTTTATGGTTTAAAAATCTATTATAGATCCGAGGTAACAGTAACCATAAGACGTACCATAAGAATCAGCCAATCACGGTCGAGAATTCTTTTGAACTGTTAATTCTGATTGGCTGATTTTTACGGTACGTCTAAGTCTAGATCTACAATAGATGTTTTGAGCCTTAAGCTGTAAGAATTTGTAACCAATTACAGTCGAATGCCAGGGGAATAATTGACTGTGATTCGTTCATTTCTTATGGCTTAAGACTTAAAAACCTATTGTAGATTAGGATTACTTTATGGTTACTGTTACGAAAGATGTGTACGGGCCTCTTAATGCCTTATCCTTATAACCGATCAATTGGAAGGTAGTCACGTGACTTATCGCTTGTCTTGCAGCCAATCAATTTATCGCTTTTATGATCTTACGATTATGATTAAACTTTTATGTACAATGGCCTTAAGCTATAATAGCTCTATGTGTTGTGAATATACTCGTTACAAAATCGAAACAAATGTGCGACTCCTTCGTTAACGGTATATAAAATTCGTTTCTAGCGAAAAAATTATTATCACAACTATTAACTTTTTTAACATGCGAATCGTTAAAATACGCGACATAATAAGGAGTTTTTGCAATATCGTTTATCCAGATACGGTAAACGCTAAGATTATCTTCTTCTTCACAACTAATTAAGAAAAGAGAAACGTGGTTTTAGCGTTCACCGTATCTGGATTTACGTTATTACCAAAACTTCCTATTTACTGTGTTAGCTTATTAAGAAAATCAGTACAATCTCGATGC